GAAATTTGCTTTCATGAGTTGTAAAACAATGATAACACACACCATAATATAGTTATAATAAATATAACTCTGAACTTTTCCAAGAATATTACGATACAGTTGAAAACATTAAATGTTAAACTTACAGAAATGACACACTCAAAAATATGAATTAAAAAAATGAAATTAGAAAACACATTGACATATGCTAATGAAATATTGTATAAAAATTGAAGTTGTAAAGAATGGAAATGAATGTGGTAGATAACAACAAAAGAGAAAACATTTGACAAATTTGTTAATTTGTTTATTTTATTTCAGCGGTTTAAATGATGAATAATATTTTGGGGGGATTTTGACTAAGCCTATCTATAGGCCTATATTGTAATATTAACAGAAAAAAAATTATTTAAAAAATCTTTTATAAATAATATGCCTAATGGTATTAATAATAATGGTATTGATGATAGGAGTGATGTTTTGCCCTTCCTGGCGTGTTGGTGCACCGAAAACTCAGTAGGTTACCAACTCGTGAAAAAATTCGCAAGTGATTCGAGTGGGAATCGAACCCACGACCTCCAGAACTAACCTGGTGCCATAACCACTAGACTACCGAGCTTGAGCTCAGTGACTAGTGTTGAATCCGATCCCCAAGTGGCAGAGGGTACTACAAATGCTATTTCGGTGTGAGTTTGCGTCAGGATTTTTAACAATAATTTAAACAATGGCAAACGAAACTTTTGTAAACTGGTACTCACTCAGGCGCTCAACATGGCGTCGGTGGCTTCAGGGTTTTTTCTCTACAAAGGTTGGCCGATGATGATCAATCCAGCTATTAGTAGAAATCAGTAATCTGCACGCATGTCCTATAGGTCTTCAAGGTCTAATGGATATGACATTCGCTTGATAGTGAGAGATTACTGTTTCGAATCCTGTCAGAGACACTTTCTTCATACAACTAAATAAAAGGAACTTTTCGTTGAAGGGCTGTGTTTCATATAATTATAACATCTTCTTCCTATTTAAGCACTGATGTTATAATTATTATTTATCCATTTTGTTACCCTTGCCTTTCCGAAAGAGAACTGGAGGGTATTGCAATAGTGCGTGTCTGTGGGTATGTGTGTGTTTCCTTCCGGGCGCATAAATCAAAAACTACTGGATCGATTTACTTTACCTTTATTTAGAGTAAATAGTGGTCCGTAATGATAATTCGTAGTGATCCGTAATGGTATCGTACGCGCTTTTGTGATGGTATGACGCTCGCCGAGATAGCGAGAGTTTGTGGATTAGCAGAGACCTCTTTTGTCATACAACTATAATAAGGAACTTTCGTTGATGATCTATGTTTGATAAGATTTATGATTCCCTGTTCATATTTGAGCACTGTATTATTATCTATTTGGTTTATACATTATCTGTGTACCCAGTGGTAAGCAGCAACTATTGAATACTATTTCTTATGATTTACCCGCTGCTATCTACAAGCTATTACGTAGCTTAAAACAAGGTGATTTAGAACCTGAAGAATAGTCAATATTAAGTATTAAAAATTAAGGAATTTATTGAATCAATGGACCCTCATAAACTGAACGTTTATTAGGAATATCCTAGACCTATGTTAAAGACTCAAGGAACGAAAATATATGTAGGCCTTGGCCAGGCAAGTATTTAATGCATTCAGAAATTTCCTTCAGGCCATTTTTTTGAGCATTAAATCTAACCGTCGTATAATAATTTTCCTATTTACTATGTACAGCTCTACTAATTGCTTATTAATTTTTGAATATGAACTTAAATTTCATAAATTCAAATATGCCGAATCTTCTAAAAAGAAACAATTACAAACTGTTCGAAGAACCTTATATTAGCCATTTCAGCATTTTACTTGTTAAGGACACAAGCTGTACCTAATCTAGCCATATTTAATATCAGGGCATTAGTCAAATAAATAAATAAACAAAAACTTGTTATTGGTACAATATTTTAAATTATTATTTTTTTAAATTCTATAAGGATTATGTTTGTAATAATATCGAAACACGATACGATGTTACCAATAATGAAGACTTTGCAATGAATCACGACACACATGACGTCAGTAACTCTTCGGACATGATGGATGAGCTCAATGACAAAATAATGTCACTGGAGAAACAAATGATTGAAAAGGTAATGAGTGATGGAAAGTGGAATAGACAGAAAAGGACATAATATTCATTTAGTTGATATTGGATTTGAATTCCGATGCAGGCACGTGTGTGTTTTTTTTTTAATTATCATCATTCCACATTTTCATATTCAAAATAATTCCAGTTTGTCTTTTTTATTATATAGTTCAATGTATGTAACTATCTATGTGTATATTTATTTATTGTTGATTTATTGTTGTTTTGTTGAAAAAAGGCATTACAGTTAAAACCTCGCTTGTTTTGATGCCCTGTTTTCTGGCCTAGTACATGTACACAGTAAGTGATGTTCCACAAACGCATTACGCACTATATAAACGCATTGCGTTGGTAGTTGAGTGACCGCTTGCTGGGAATCATTTAACACTGATATGTTACTATCGACAGGAGAATCCAGCATTTAATAGTGAGCTTTCGATTTGTCCGACGACGCGCGCGACGAGTCACTCATGCGTGACCGTCCTACCTGGCGTCCTACATTCTGCATACGTAGATTTGGCCAAATTCCGTTCCAGAATCTACTCGACGAGGCGACCTTAACGTTCTCGCATGCGCAGATGACTTTTAGTGACGTCATTACGTTCTACGTCCTACCGTCGTCGTGCAATCGAAAGCTCCCAAATATATGTAGCTCATCAGTAATGGAGAGCTAAACGGTCAAAGTATTTGAAAAAATAAATAATGTACCATGTGATTTATTTAGGAAATTAGAGTAATGAAGATTGAGAAGAAATGCCAGGAATTGGTAGATGCCGTAAAAGAGTCGGCTCCAGATGTTGCTGCTAATCTGGATTTTGATGGAGAAACAATAACCAATCACAACAAAGGTTATTCCAGTAACATGCAATCGAGGTATGGCCGTTTCACACCTTCAAAGATGTATTGATATTTTGTTCAAGCAATTTAGAAAATAAGTGCCCATTTAATGACAATTGTTATTATCTTCAGTTCAATTTGTCAAAATTGCGAAGCTAAATCTCAGTCTGCGGAGAAGAAAGTGAGACCCTTTTCTGGGCGAAAAAAATCGAAGCCATTGTCCGCAGAACAATTGGAAAAGATGAATAAACTTGAAAGCGATAACGATGCTCTGAGAGTTGAATGTTCACGCGTACGTACTGAGCTGGACCAATGTCGTGCGCGATTGGCAAAGACAAAATGGGAACTTATCACGTTGAGATATGTGGAGAATAAAGCCGCTCGCTTACCTACTCCATATTCTGTCGAAAAAGACATAGACATAATTCAAGATAATCGAAAGCTTGTGGACGAATCTAATGGAGAGACACAAGAGATTGGTTATCTTGAGTCGAATGACGTCTCAAAAACAGTAAGAAGAAAGATATAAAGTTCAATTTCTGTTTATTGTTATTTGTTTTTACAATTTAAAATTCACAATATAATACAAAGAGGAAATTGAGGATTCATGTTATCGTCATCTTATTTTTTGGTTTGTTTCAAAATTCTTATCATTTACAGTATTTCCTTACAATACATGTACTTACAATGTTTAATTTTGTGTAAGTGTCAAAGTACAGTTTGGCAATCATGTTAGTAGTTTTACTGCCAACATAATTTTGGCACAAACTAATGTTAGTTTTTCCTAAAAGTATAACGATTGCAACTCTCATTATATATGTTCCCGAGCAACTAATCGGTGTCATTTTTTGGCAACAAAATTACATTCCAAAATGTACTCGCAGCCAAAATCAGTCCGCCAGTTCAGTTTGTGTCAGGGAGAGAAGTATACAGCGACTGTGTTAATAAACATTCGAACAATAACAATACAATATATTATTCATTTAATTATTATTAAGGAAACACCCAAGATTTCATTAAAAGGAGTTGTAACGAAAATGGTGGCACCTATACAAACAAAGCCACAACGACTATTTATCGGACAGCAACGCAATACTACGCAAGATGAATTTGACGCTTACACTACTGTGATGAAAGACGGACAGACGAAACCCGTGCAAAAGATTACCATGTCCAGAGTTAAGCAGAAAGCAGGTCCTGCTGCCGAGGACGAGAGTGCTTCTGTTGAAGTTGAAGAGGTTAACCTCACGCACCAGGTACGTTTAAGCATTTTATTGTAACTTAGGCTACCTTCTTATCAATAAAATAATTTAAAAAATGAATTTTAATAATGTTCCAGTTAGTTTGGTGTTCAAATCTCTTTTCTGGAAAACCATTATATGGTACGTATATTATACATACGTTGCACATTTTGCTGGAACATTGTGTTAACGTCATTTTCTGACATCCTAACCACAACGTTGGCGATTGTTTTAATGTATTTTTGTATTTGCTTGGAAAGACTGCTGAAATAAAACAATGAACAAATTTAGTAATAAAAATTGAAATGAGAAGCAATAATTATTGAATATATATAGTATAAAACATTTTGTTAATGAATTACTGTTCAAGAAGTACACAGTAAACAACAAAAGTAAATGTCTTATGTAGTTTATCTCTTGTATTGCATTCATGATTGTATTGTGTAATTGATCGTCACATTTAAGAAGGGTGGTGGTGGATTTCATTTTTTAAAATTTATATGTATTGATTAACAAATCCACTGTGAAGAATATTTGTGTATGATAATGTGAAAAAGCCTCATTGATAACCTCATTTAGGCTAATTATCAATAATCTACATAATTTAAACCATCGAGAGGGCGCTGTCCACATACAATAACAATCACTTTAAAAAGTATACATAATGTACCTCTTAAAACTAAATATTGTGTCTCCAGGGCGTACAGACAGATCCTGCAATGGACCCACTAGGTGCATGGTCAAATGTCATTGACACAGTTAATGTAAGTTTTTGTTCTGTAATTTATTGTTTTATTTCTTCTTTAATTAAATTTCAGGCAATCAGAAGCCTATACTGTATAATATTTTTATATCTAAAATAGTACTTATTTAATTACTTTCGAATAACTAATAAGACAATTAACATAAGTTTAAGAAATAATTTATATTTTTTAATTAAAAACTGACAATTATCACTGAAAATTTTAAATAATTGAATTAAACATTATTTACAATGGACATTTTTGGTAAACCCAATAGTATCTAAAGTGCTGGTGAGCAGTGACCGAAAAAGGTGGTATAAAGGACGTAGTGAGTCGATTGACCGAGTGGTTAGTAGAGGCGCCGCAACCTACAGCCATCATGTCTGCGCTGGCACTCTCGCCAAATGGTTATGGTGAAAGAACAAGTCTCCTCGGATAAGGAATATAAATCGTAGGCCCAGTGCACAATGGCTCGAGTACACTATAAAGAACCCAGTACATCATTTGAGACGAATAGGGGTTACACTGGTGTACTGGTACAGACAGCCCCCGTGGTAGACGACGAGAGCTGCTGGTACCGGGTTGACAATATCAACCATTTATTCTGGCCAAACTACGCCCTCTATGCCACTTCTGGCAATCCCCACCCCCATCTATTTTGGCCAGAGCTTTCCAACTCCTCTCTTTGATAGTGTTAAGGTGTGGGAACTTAAACAGCCTAAACGTATGTTAACTTGCGTGTTAGTAGGGCGTTCGTGTATTAATAGCTATTATAAATAACACGTTCTGATTGCCTTAGTCACGTCGAGTCAAACTTGGCACTACAATTAGGCAGACATTAGTGGGGTTATTATGGTGGTTTTGAATTCGTGACCGGTATCTGAACTCAGTGGTGGATCCCAAAATTCAAGTATTGGAGGCCCAAAGGGAGACTTTCAGAGATGGAGGGTTCACTCACTTGAACTTCACTATGGTTTGGCCCAGTGGTGGCGCCAGGACCTGCCCGACGGAGGGAATAAAGTCCCCGAGGGGGGCTAGAGGAACGAATCGAATCTCACTTGGCTGGGGGCCCCCGGTGGGGGTGCAGGGGGGGGGGAGCCCCCTGGAAGCCACGGATATTTGATGAATTA